TGCCGACAGAAGCTTGATTTTAAAAATATTGTCCTTATTATTAAGGCTATATGGCATAGTCATGTGGAATTTTATTTTAAAGTAATTTCAATTATACTTCTCCACCTATGTCCTCCCCAAATAGAATGAAACTAGCTTTACCACAATTTATATAATATAATACATTAAAGATACATTATGCAGAGCTAAATCTGCCTATTGCATGTCTTTTTCCTGGTTTCAGATGTTTAATTTATTCACATGACAAGCTCAAAATCACCCCCCAAAAAATGCAGCCCTTACCCCATTGCTCTAATCCTTTCTTATGACCCATACTGAATTTCCTTGCTGTGATCTATGTTTATTAAAATTTCATATCAGTTCTTTAGACAAGGATTTTTTAAAATTTAGAAATACAAACTTTTTGAAGAGAGAAATACACTATTACAATTCTAATAATATCTTTCTTATTAGGAAAATATTAACTTTTCTAAGTACATGTACATCTTCAAAACCCCAGCAAAATACATATTATCATGTAACAAATGCAGATTTCTTTATTCCGTCAATAAAATGCAGAAAGAACAGAATCATGCAGAGCTTTTGCATTGATTTTCAGTACTGGCCAAATATACACCAGTAGTCTCCCTTGATATTCTTTTAGATCAAAAAAGTGGAGCACTTCACATCATCAAAGACTGACATCATACAATTGTGATTTCTGTACCTGAAACATTGGTTTTGTTCGTTTTGTCAATGGATACAAGGATTCAGACACTTGGATTCGCCTTTGTAAATTTAATTATTTTCTAAAAAAAAGAATTTTAGCAAATTTATTGTAAAACTGTAATTTATTTTTTAAAGCTCTAAAAATACAATAATCGGAAATCTGCTAAATTTAGAAATAGCACCCATGTGGTTTGATAAGAAGTTTTTTTATTTGCGTGAAACTATTCCGACACCCTTATAGTCATATCCAGACATCCATTAAAAACCATGCAGATATAGATATCTGGGTATTACGGTAGAATGGCACAAGGCTTGTGGAATAGTTTGTAAATTGATGGTAAAACAATATAATAGATAGCTATTAAACCATAATGATGATTTATGATCAAGTTATGACGGTGATTTATCTTGAGATCATTCACTTACTTTGAGAAGCTAAATCCACTTTTTCTACAACCTTAACAGAGGTTAAACACATTATCATACACTAACTTATGATGTATGACAGCTCAATAACAGGAAAGAAACATGAACAGATCATAGAGCAACTCCACCACCCCATCCTAAAACCCCAGGGGGAGTGGTTCACACAATCATAGCTTCAAAAAATAGACACTAAGACATTTAACTGAAAATTTATAATCCTCCCATTGCCATTATCTACTTATATTTAACAGGTCCACATACATGTGCTTATTTAAATTCAACATCAATACCCTATCACATTAAATATATCTGAAATGTATATTTAAATACAATTACGGTTCACATTCAAAATGCTATACAAGTTTTGTATTCATAATTCATAAAGAAAAAAAAAAGATTTTTCACTGGTGCAAAGGATTTACATTTTTTACTTTTTCTTCTGAACCTCTTGATAGATTTCATTGACAACCAATTTTCAACTATTGAATTCAACCAAATGTAGTAGATATGTTTCATGGTAATACTTATTCAGATTTAATCTGCACCATTTTTGTGCATTTTCAACTTTTTCTTCTAAACTATTTGATGGATTTTAACCAAATTTGGTAGATATGTTTCTCAGCAGACATTTTATCCTTATCGAGAGACATGAACACGACGATATAATACAAAAATCATTAACATATTGATAGAAATTAAACAGCAATGGGAAAATAAGAATAAACTTCAAGTAAATCAGATAATACTATAGCATTCACAAGATTGTACAAATTCAGCAAGGGCAGTAACTCCAGATTTAATCTGAAGAGTGCGAAGTAAATGTGAGCAGATCGAATGATAACTTTTGCCACTTAAAGATCAAGAGCAATAACTCTGGTAGTTATTACTATTACTAAAAATATACAAATTTCAATGCTTGTTTTCTATACTAAAATTAATCTTAATAATAACATCAGGTAGCCTCTAAAGTGTTTATTCATCATTCTCAAAACCATGAAAATTTAGCCAAGTTGCATCAAGAAATTAACAAAAAGCACATCCACATTACACTGAATATATCTTAAATATTTATTTTAAGAAATTATTTCATCGAAGCAAAAATTCCCTTTGGAAATATATAGTACAACTGGACACCATTTATTAGGTCACATCCCAAGGGATCAGAACGGTCAAATATAATCCTGACTAGACTTTTCACTCTAAATACATAAAGGATTAATAAAAGTTCAGCAGAAATGAAAATATAAGGTTGGTCCAGCTACACAATACAGATATTACATACTTAGGTTGTTCACCAAAGAGGTAAAATATAATGGTACATGTGTTATGTTTCAGAATGGATATTAAACATTGTACTGGTATGTTCTATGGAATTTTTAATTATTCAAGTACTGGTATTTTCAAATAAATCTGTGAAATTATTTATATATATGAGTATAAAGTGATTTACATTCAATTTCTAAAATTTTATTGCAATTTCTGATTAGTCCATTTTAGATGGGGTTTTTTCTATTACTATTTTTATGTTTGTGGATCAGGTATGTTTAATTACTTCCACATTGTCTTCTAGGATGTTTTTCTCTGTTCATTATAAGTGGCACTCGATACCATTATGTGCATAAACTATGCAACTTTCTGTGCCAATATTAAAATTTTCATTGTGTCTTAAATATTGGAAAATTAGGATCCCATATTTTCATGGTAAGATAACTACTTCAATACTGATATAAATGGACTAACATTGAGAGAGAGAGAGAAAGAGAGAGAGAGAGAAAGAGAGAGAGAGAGAGTTGGGGTTTAACATCCACTAGACACTAACTAGGTCATTTCAGGACTAACATATGGTTCAATTTTATTTCAATAATTTGCTTGCGTGTTGGGGTCTTCAGCAGTGGGAGGAAACCGGAGGACCCGGAGAAAACCCATGAGGTTGAACAGGTGACCCTACTCCTTGTTACGTACAACCGTGGAATTAAAACCATGCCAGTTAACTCAATGACAGACCTTATGATATAGCGTGCACCTGCTAATCATTCAGCCATCCAACCCCTCGGATCAACATTGAATCGTAATCCGTGTTTTTAATTTCAAATATTATGGATAATATTGAGTTAGAAGTTTAGATTCTGTTGAATTTTACATGCACTGTTCACTACAATAATATAACGGTTTTAAAGTAAAACTGTTTATAGTATAGTTAGTTGCGTGCTCTAAAACATAATTAAACTTTAATATGTTGAAGCATGCAAATGCAGACTGAGTGGGCTATAAGATAGTTGTTATCCTTACGTCTATCCACATCTCATTCAATAGATTACATCACAGAGATAATGAATTAAATTATTTAAACAAAATATATCTTTGGTTTAATCTAACAAAGGCCATATCTTTAACACCATTTGCACTACCTTAAATTGAGTATAAAGGAATGTGGACTGCTACCAGAAATTGATAATAAATGAGTGTGGATGTTGTACCAGAAATTTAAATAAAAGTATAGAAGTAGTACCAACTAGATACAGCACCACTATTACATTGTACAATAATTTAACCAGACTAAAATTTTTCCTCTGAACAATTAACGTATCTAGTAAGTCTAGGTACTAAATTCCAATGAGACTTAGTCCTTAGGCATGCCCAATACAAATGAGATGGGGGAAAAAAATCCAAGAAATTACTTGACATTCATTGACATAATGTTCGGTACTCAACACATCTTCATTTTAACCTGTCAGAATAAGATCAGTTATATCAGTTGCAATGACTTGCTTGTCATCCTGAAATCGTAATTTGTTAATATTGAATGCTAAGCCATCCACTTAAAACACTTTACTGACCAGAACTTTTGAGTCACCAAAAATATCAACTACTGCTCCAATTCTAAGTGAACAGAAACTCACATTCAGGAAAAGTAATTAAGAATAAGAGTTCATGTATTTTTCATAACATCCCTAATGTTAAAAGAGTTAGAATTGGAGAGAGTCTGCAACTATGTCAAATTGTACTCCTGCTTCATTTTAACCCAAATCTAAATTCCATAAAACAGACTACCATACTCTATTTTGTTGTGCAAAGAGCTATAAGGAAGTTGGAGCTATGCAATAAAATCTACCGGTACTAACCTTACAGAATTTGAAAACCATACTAACAATATCTGTGCATGGGGCAACAGGCTAGAGACCTGATGTATTTCATGATGAATTTGCTGTTTAGGTCTACTGTTAGGGCTCACAGACAAAACTTACCCTGAGGCTTATGACATTAGGCAGATGGATCAATGCTTGGCATTTCTTTAAATCAAGTTGCAAAATCCAACTTTGGTTTAAGAATGGCATGGAATAGGGGTTAATGTTTCGTCAGCACATACTATACATTTTTATGGTTATGTGAATTTTGCTTGGACATTCATGTTTCTACACTTCTTTGAACTACCACATAATCTTGAAAGTGCATGCCAATGTGTACATGACTAGGTACAGTCATTCTAATCGAGAGGCTGATTACAATCAGCTTGACTACTGTGGTACCTCTAGTTTAAAAGATAAGAGAAGGTTTTTTGACCCGTTTTTGTCCAGTAATTGTATATAAAAAAAAACCATGAAAATATTACATTAACATTTCATCTCTTCAGTGACTTTCTGATCTCACCAGGTTCTTCAGAAATGTCAATAGAGACCATGTATGTTATCACAAAATCAAAATAAAGCAGCACATCTAACCGGAAAGGACATTGTAGATATTAAACCATTACTTTGGAACATCATATAGCCTATAGGCAAGTTGCCCATACTTTCTGAGATTATTATATCTTCCAGTAGTTTAGTGTCAAAAGAAAATTTGTCTTGTAGTAACATAATTTCACTTACATGTATCTAATCTTTAGAATATATCCTACTGTCTTTTAGTTCACTAAACAATATTCCACTAGTTGATATATCATCTATGTCTTACTCCATTCTAGATCTACAATACAAAGAAAGATGCCTGTAGCAGTTTATCAAATATTCATTAGTTATTGTAACAGCCAATACTGCCATTCAGCACTTCAGAGACGCTTTTCTTTTGCATGTTAACACAAGAAGAATAGCAGAAGACTTTTCAATGAAGGAAAACATGTCTTGAGACAGTGTTGAGATTCTTAAACAGACCAAGTCTCTTACATCTTCACAATTTTATTGAAAAGATAAACAAAAATTTACAAGCAGAAACAGGAAAACAATCAAGCAAGCAAGATTCATGAATCATTAAACAAACTTTCTACTATTCGATCGAATGCAAATATAAGTAAACCCAATGGATTTCAATTTAATTTTTCAGGTTTACCAATTATTAACTAGATATACCAATTGCACACCAGGTTTATATTTTTACATATTTGTTTCCTATTTATAACCCTGGTTTAAAGAGCAAGAATATAAAACAAAAGAAAATGGTAGATTCTGAGAAAAATGATAGGTAACTGAGAAGTGTTTGAAAAATTAATATTGGTGACATCCCTAGATAAATGCAACAAATAGACTATCTATAAGCTTATTTTTTATTTTCTACTTAGAAATATTATAGAAAATTTAATCATTTTCATTTTGAATCTTCTATCGAATGTCATATTCAAGGTCATTAGAGATTATTATTTGACGGATGCCATTGCCATCTCCACCATAAAACATTTATGTTGAACTCAGTAGAGAGTATAGAAAATAATTTGATAAAGGAGGAGAAACATACATTATTCAACTGGTCATGGATTTATATAACACCTTTTAACATACCTTTCTAATATCATAATGTAATTAAATTCTTTTACATGACTATAAGTAACAATCTGACCCACAAACAAATGCAAACATCACATATTACTATTGTTCGTAAGGTATTGTTTTAATATATTAGACCAGCAGTTGCCATGCAAGATACGCCCACATTTTGTAAGAGATGGATTGAGAACAAGCTAGAAAAAACCATGATGTTTCTTATCATTAGGGGCTATAATCCAGGATATTATGGTCTGAATGCGAGAATACACTTTTCAAGTTTCATCAAAATTGGATAAAAATTGTGACCTCTAGTGTGCCCAAAAGCTAAAAATGTAATTTTTTGTACAATCAGGGGTCATAATCTGTGAAGTTATGGTCCGATACATGCCAATTTCGGAAGAAAACGAGATCTTTGCGAGATAAACCTGCAGAGTATTCACAAACAAATTGTGGACGTCTGGATGGAGGGTGTATATAAAAAAAAAAAAAACATCCTTTTTTCAAAATGCCATCATTATGCAGTAATACTTTTGAACTGTAATAATGACTTTGTTTTTTTTTACACTTAAAAAAAAATGAATTTTAAATAATTTGTTGTATTCTAGCTGTGTTGCACTGGTAGAGTTTATCTTCATTCTGTAACATCCACAATAATGCAATAATAATTACTTGTCAATTTCATAAACAATACCTTAAAAAAATAATTCTGTCTCACAACGCATTATTGCATCTCGTCATACTGCTCAAAATTGTCAACAATCATTCAATTCCTTGTAAAAAAAAAGAAACGGCAAGTTGTAAGCTCAACAATTTGGTTTTCCATAGTGAATTAACATATACTAAACAGCAAAAAAAAAAACGTCCGTACGATTTCAAAATCAGAGAGGCACTTTAATCAAATCATTCTAGTCAACGACTTACTAAATGGATCAAATCAATTTTTTGTGAACAGTATGTTGACTCATTAGTGATTAATTCATCACAATTCCAAAACATTACAAGAAGGTTTAGAGTCTGTACACAGTCTATATATCAGTATCTGGTGTGTCCACCGCGAGTGTCAATGACAGCAGCGCAGTGTCTGTACATTGATGAACGCCATTGGCACCTGGAACCACACTCTCAAAAAAGCCTGGCGCAATCCATCGGCTGTGTTTGGTCTCGGTACGATGTTATTAACTCTCCTCTGAATTTCATCCCAAAGATATTCAATCGGGTTTAAGTCCGGACTACATGCTGGCCAATGCATAACGTTGACACCGATCTGCTGTAGAAAGTCCGGACTACGGGCTGGCCAATGCATAACGTTGACACAGATCTGCTGTAGAAAGTCCCGAGTAACTCTGGCGGTGTGGACACGGGCATTGTCATGCTGGAAAACGTTTTTTCGAAGACGTGCGAAATTTGGTACGATGTGGGGTCTGAGAGCTTGATCGATGTAGTGCACTTCTGTGATGTCACCTCCACTCCCTGGACCAAGATTTTGGAACACCACAGGACCCACTCTCTAGTTCAGGCTGATTCCACCCCAAACCATTATGCTTGGATCTCCCCATGAGTCTCGTTCCATGAAACCATATTCTGGTCCTGCCATCTGCAGTTGATACGCAATACCGTCTCTCATCTGTGAACAGAACAGTTCTCCATTGCCTGTGTTGCCAGTTCTGGTGTTGTTTGCCAAACTGTAGATGTTTACGTCGATGGCGAGGGGTGAGGATCGATCCACAGTAAGGTCTACGTCAATATCTGTACTGACGGGTCTTCCGTGTGTTCCCACCGTCTGACGTTCTGTCTCAGAATGCCTGTGTGAAGGGATTCTTCATGTGCTGTCACTCAACATAGCGGTCTTGTCGCCTTGTGGTAACCCTTGGTCTACCAGTTCGGGGGCAATCATCCGTGGTGTTGGAGGAATGTAGATGGTCCAAACATTGACCTGGAAGTGATTCACAACAGCTTGGGCAGTGTGGCCAGGGTCGAGTCTTCCAAGCGCCTGGTTCCTCTGAGCGGTCGTGAGTCGTGGCATGCGGCTGATATTGTAGTGTGAATGATTCAACCAGGTATGGGGGTGCATTTTATAGTGCTGGTCCTGGTGAACAGCACATGCAGCATGAGTTACATAAAAATCATGGAGAACACATTACCATCTCAGAAGTCAGGTTGCGTTTTTGAGAACATTTCCTGGGTTCAATTTTGTGTTTGGGAAGGAGCCTTATTGCTCAGGTAAAGTTGGTCAAAAATATACAATAAAAACATTTGGCAAGTTTTATGCAATGCGTCTATTCAGAGTAACAAACAAATTTTCTGTTTTATAGATAAGGCAGGCAGAAAAATATGTAAATTATCCATCATAAACTAATAATATATTCGTTTAAAGATGATAGCTACCCTACAAATTACTAATTTCAGTTATTATTTCTAAACTGAAAATTTAGTAAATTTCAAATTAATAGTATTGAATATAAACTAGATTCTTTTGTATGAAATAATATGACTGAGGTAAATTATAACATGGTCACAATAACCCTGTTTACATTACAAATTTTAAGCATGCTAGGAACGGTGCCAAGAACAGAACAGTTAACAGGGCAAACATGAGCATTCTGTACTGAGAACAGAAAATTTTCATAGTGTAAATGCTATCTGGACTCCAAGCGGTTCTCATGCGTCAGTATTAAGCTTGAGCCTTTGACCATTCCCCGTAAACCTATAACAACAACAAAGCAGCCTATTTTTAAATGATATGACTCCACTTTCATCTCCTTTTGTATAGGGGTATCATTTTGATGAGACTTAATACATTCAAAATGTGCATCAAATCACTATTTCATGTTTTTTTCTGTATTTCTCAAAAACATTAAGAAAATGAAAACAAAGGGATCAAACAAATGTAACCTTATTGCTTGTGTTGGTTTTCATCAGTGTAACCATGCTTGGGTGACTAAAATTAACTTTTCTGTTCCATATTTAGTGTACAGGCATGGTTTTGAGGACAATTATTGTATAGAAATGTAACCAGCACAATTTCTTGAATTTTATTGTTCCAAGTACACTTATCGCGGAAAAGTCTAAACACAGCTTATATCTTTATCTGCAAAATGCCATTTTAGAATGTTGGTCCAGTTGACCCCCACTTTTATTGCTGAAAGGAGATGTTAAATGTAGCAGAATGTGAGAAGATGAAAGACTGCAGGGATTGTACACATGTATGGAAATATCTATAAAAGATAAACTGATGAAAATTTAATGAATTGATGACAACTACAACATGTAAGGATATATCAAATCAAAGAAATCAAGGTGATACTAGGATTAAAGCAAGGCAATTGAAATATAAATTTCTCATGGAAAATCCTACATCATCGAAAAGTTGAACCACAAATTCATTGAAAAAATAACTCTATAGCCCTAATGTACAAGAAATTTGTTGGTTAGACTTTTGCTAAATGGCTTGTACTTCAACTGAAATACTTTGCTCCTAAACTAAAGATCATCTTTAGCAGCAAGACATCTAATAAAGTATTATTCTGGGTAATCAAGACTACACAGTTACCCAGTAATAGGTTAAGAGTAAATGCTGAACAATTTTAAATCTAACTTGGATCCAGTTTCACTCTTCCTCAGAGGAAATCGGAAAACCACTTCGATCAGCGTTTATGGTTCCCAAACACTATCTGCAATCTTGACAGTGGAAACTAGTTGTAAGCTAACTTTTGTCCTCAGTGGAAACTAGTTGTAAGCTAACTTTTGTCCGCAGTGGAAATATCCAACCAGATCTCTCATACTCATTTTCTGTATGTTGTCCATAACTATGCTCAGTTTCATGTGTTAAAAACTTTAAACTTGTGATGTTTCTCTCAAGTGCCAGTTGTGCATTGCTGAATCAATTTAATTAAGAAATAGAAAACATCCATCAGAGAACTAAAAGTGAAGTGCCAGTAGTCATTCAGCAACAGTGATATGCACCAGCATAACCCTAACTTAACATTAACACAATATTTGAAGGTTATTTGATGTAAATTTATGCTAATAAAAAACACTTATCATATAGTTTCATTCATGGTCACAAATGGTAAATAATTTCAACAGTAGAAATAATTAAATATTATTCTTGTTCCTGTACAATTTTTTTTACCAAATGCTCACAGTTCCTGACAAGCATAACAAACAAATAAAATACTGTTTCTGCTAATGCATTATTTCTGCTACTGT